GAGCATTCGACTCTAAGGAGATGCTGCGCTGGAGGATCCGGCTCGGGCCTGGCAGAGTTGGCGCGAAGGTGAGTTTCACTTAGTTGAATTCGTAATTAAAAATCCGATAAAACTGGAAATTCTCTTGTTTGGAATCAAGTTCTTTAATGCCTCCATTGTCGTGTGTAATAATAAATTAAATCTGCTTTCTGTTGCAGAGACGAAGCAGACGACCAGCCGACTCTTAGGGGCTGCTGTGCCGAAGGATCCGGCTCGAGCCAAGCGGGGTTAGCTCGAAGGTTAGTTTCCTTAATTAGCATTTGTCATTAGAAATCCAATAAGATTGATAATTCTCTTGCTCGAAATCGAAATAATTTGAATCGAGTCAAAGATCGCGTTAAATCGTAATTATACGCGAGAAGAAGTTTTCCTGAGTAACATCACCACTTGGAAAATGTTTATTTGTTTTAATTAAGAAATTTTTGTGAAACATCGAGAAAAAGGAAAATTGAATATTCTAAATGTGAATGCATTCTGAAAAACTCTCCCAGCGTTAAAAGTATCGCGCGCTTATTTTTTTTTAATATTTCAAACTTTTTTTACTCAAACCGACATTAATGCACGAATCTAATCAGCGAAACATTTTCTGTTCCAGATACGAAAGCAGAACGTGGCTGCCCTGATCAGCGGATCGGTGAGTCAAATAAGAAAATAAATTGGTAATAGAAAGACAAAAAGTCTTTCCATGTAATGCATGTTTATAAATCAATGCGATTTACTTTGCTGTGGTGTAGTGTGTGTATGTGACGTCCAATAAAGCTCGAAACATTTGAAAGATCGCGTTTACAAATAATAATATTATTAATAATGCATTTTTACATAAATTTGGCAAATTTTCAAATATTTTTCTCCCAATTGCCATTAAAGTATCGAGTATACGCTCTGAATTCAAAATGTTGTAAAATTATTCAGTTTTATTGAATGCGATCTTTCAAATGTCTCGATCAGTGCGCCAACGCGCAGAGATTGCGCTACAGAGATAGCGCTACAGAAAATGCGCAACACATCACTCGCCTCGATAGATCTC